ATACAAAGCTACGTCGAGGGACATACCGTGAAAGCAGATGATACAAATTTAAGGATACGCTGTGTCCTAATTTTTTCTCATATTTTGATATGTCATTTGTTTATGGCTGTTTGTACTTTACTTGCGGACTAGCGGCATGGCATAGAGGAAGAGCAGATAGGGGCGGTGGGAAGAGCGGCCGGCATCCGTATTGTTGGGTATTGTTCGGAACGACAGGCGGGCGCGGGCAGGGCAGGACCGGCGGCCGACTATTCATCTGGGTGACGTCATGCGCTTGGTTCTCTGCCTCTGCCCTTACCGAGAGTAAAAGCTAGCCGACACCTTAAAGTTACTTATATATTCTTTATGTTTAGTCAAATGGTTTTTAAGGTATCATCTGCTAAAAATGTGACACTAAACACGGCATCAACAACGATGTTCGTTTACCCACACAAAGTACGAAGTAGATCGGAGACGATCCAGTACAAAATGTTATTTTAATTTTGAAACTATAATTCCGGCGCACAGAAAGAGTATAAAAAGTAAAGAAAGTACGGTAGATTGGCACGCGTACGGCTGGCTCGCGGTAGGCGGGTGAGGTCATCGGGCGATGCCTGCTATCACTGCTTGGCTGTGCAGTGTGCTGCTCTACTGTACGCGCATGCTGCTGATCAGGAAGTTTGGACCCCGAATTCTCTGCTCGTTTTGAAAGATCAACGACGATGGACCGGAGGCATCGGGCGATTTCTGAGACGCAATATAATTATTTAAGACGATGATTCGTAGTGTATGGGCAACCCTTATGTGTGTATATTTTATACAATAAACATCGTTGTGATATAAACGGCTGGAGTTTGGACGACGGCAGTAAGAGCTTCAATAGTTTCCCAGGTAGAACACAAACGTCAAAAACTCGTGAATGACCCTCATTTGACGTCAAAATGAGCTCATTCTGGCTACGTAGGCGCAGTAAATTTTGACGATTAGGGTCAAAATGGGGTCATTTTGACATCATTTTGACAAACGTGTTCTACCTGGGTTAGCGTCAAAACTACACAAGCCCCCTAATGCACTACTATAAAGCAATAATTGTGCAATTTTGCACACTTGAACTGTGCTTTCCACTAGTCAGCACTCATTATGCACCGGGTGTCCCAGCTAAAACATGCCAGTACGTTGGGTTGCCTATGCATTGGCTGCAGGGGCTGCAGGCGCGGGACGGGTGCGGTGAAGTGGCAGCTCTCTCACCACTCCCCCGCCACCCGCCGCGCCTGCTGCCCCTGCAGCTAGTGCATAGGCAACCCAACGTACTGACATGTCGTAGCCTGGACACCTGGTATGATGCTGTTTAAGCCCCACTGAAAAATGCAATATCGAATCGACGTCAAATTGATAAAATCCAATTTGGACGTTCATTCGACGTCGACCTTAGGGGCCGTGGCTCGAGTAGGCAAACCCGCATACTGCTAGGGTGTCGTGGCCCTGACACACTGTACAGGAAAATGCATGTCAAAGTGGCAAAAGTTCCACAACAGGTGGTGTGCAGTTGCCTTGACGTTTGCGAAGTTTGCAAACTTCGTGATGTTCGTTGAGTTTAAGTTTGACACGAGGAAGTGTGCAGAGTTTAGAAAGCACACCGATTGGTGAGCGCAACTATAACATTTTTGTTTTACCTGTTCCTTAGTACTACTAGTTATACCGTGCTGAATGCAGGCGTGCAGGACGCGAGGCGGCAGCGTTGTATGCGGGTTTGCCCGCTCGCTAAATCTGTAAGGAGCCAAGGCCACTGATATGAGATCATATCGAAAAAATGTACCATGTCGACGTCGACCCACCATTTCGAGATCATTTTGACTTCGCTTCCAATGACGATTCCACTGCTGTTGACTGCTATAGTTGGAAACTCGCTCGGTTCGAGTAAAGTGAAGAAAACTATATCGTGGTAAAAAAAAATAAACGGTAGAGGCACCCTCCCCCCTCCCCTCTTGATTGTCTTCGGAATACTCCAGCCAATAAGTCCAAATTTTGAAACAAAATTGCATCCAGTCAGAATACGGATAAAACCGTCGCATTTTGGGCAATACAATTGAGCCCATGCATTCAGAGTGTGCATGCAAGCATACAATACTTGGATTATTGCTCAGCTTGAGGCTTGCTATTTGAGAATTAAACACCGGTAGTGATTTCTTAAAACGGATGAGTGTCACACCCTAACATATATGACTCGACATAAAAAGAATATTGGTGAATACGATGTGTTAATCTAAACTCGCAGTCCACTGAGGCACAATCAAGTGAGAGAGAGCGTGGGGGGGGGGGAGTGGCACGCTACTGCCGTTCCCCCCAGTAAGCCGCCTGGAAGACAGGCAATTATTTACCCTCCAAACCCCCCGCATGTAGGCAACCTAGGCCCTCCACCCATGCAGCCGACCCTCAGCCCGCGCTTGAGTCTGTTCAAACTCGAGCCGTGCCTAGCGACATTCGCGCTGACAGCGACCCCGCGACCCCGCGGGGCGGCGACGTGCGGGCTGCACTACTTTTCGCTCCAATCGGCAGTTTGTGCCGTATATAAGCTGCGGGCGGGGCTCAGTTCGGTACGTTGGACGGAGCCATCCACTCAACGCCAAGATGATGTGGAAGCCTTTCCTCCTCTTCTGCCTTGGTGAGTTTTTCTACAGAGTGTCGTGAGTCGAAGACCACGCCCGGCGGGGAACAACCCCCTTGTTCACTTTATTTTCAACCTGAATAATTCTTGAGCGAAAGCAGTACTAGTCCTTAATTGGCCAATGGCAATGGCGTTTATACGACTCCCTACACATAGGGTTGTTGTTTTGTTGATGTAAGTAGGTTTTTTTGCTGTTTAAAAATGTTCTCCGTGTCTTACGACTTCCTTTCCTTCTACAGTGGCTGCCGCCGCCGCCTCCTCCGAGCATGGCTGGAAGGCCGGCTCCGAGTACAAGTACCAGGTGCGCGGTCGCACTCTGACCGCCCTGCACCAGGTCGCCAACCAGTACGCTGGTGTCCTGATGAAGGCCCAGCTCACTGTGCAGCCCAAGTCTGACAACGTCCTCATCGCCAAGGTCAACAATGCCGAATACGCCAAAATCAACGAGCAGCTGCCCGCTGGTTGGGGTACCCCCATCCCCTCCAGCAAGCTGAGCTACCACCAGCTCCCCGTCAGCAGCAAGCCCTTCGAGATCAAGCTCAAGAACGGAATCGTCGATGAGCTGATTGTCAGCAAGAACATCCCCACCTGGGAGGTTAACATGCTCAAGGGTATCGCTAGCCAGCTGCAGGTTGACACTCAGGCCGAGAACCTCATCAGCTCTCGCATCAACAACAAGCCCAGCCACGGCTCCGTCAACGGCGTCTACAAGACCATGGAGGACTCCGTCACCGGCGAGTGCGAGGTCGTGTACGACATCAGCCCCCTGCCCCAGTACCAGCTCCAGAGCCGCCCCGAGCTCGCTCCCATGCCCCAGCTCCGCGGTGACGGTCAGCTGATCGACATCGTCAAGACCAAGAACTTCAGCCACTGCGAGCAGCGCCCCGGCTACCACTACGG